CGGTTACTACGCGCATGTCGGTTCGGGCGGGCCCGCTTCTCCGATGCCGACAACACTGCCGGCAAACAGCTCGATCGATTGCAAATGCAAGTGGCAGTGCATCGCAACGAGGTCATCGACGGCTTCGCCAATGCAACAATCGAACTTTGTGACGTCATGCGGGCGAAGGCCATGCTTCGACCTGGATCCGGGCTTGGCCCTGACAGCGCATCTCCTGAAGTGTTTATTTAGTTACCATGGACTGCAGCGTTGCACATTTGGGAACTCTTCCGTTGTCGAGTTTCTTTTGGGACTTCCGGCGGTTCTGTTTACTGGAAGGTCGTCGAGTTCATAAGCCTCCCGAAAGAGAAGTATATCGCACATTTCGGCGGTCACCGCTGGATTGGCAGAACATGCGTGTTGCAGAGGTGGTACATGAGATCCCTGCGGCCATCAGTGCTGCACCGACTACTCCCAAGCAGCGCCCAGACGTTCGGATTTAAGAAGAGTGGCAGACCAGAGCACGCATCTGGATTGATACAACAAATGTTCATATATCCGATGCGCGGGGTTTTCCCCTGCGCTGCGCCGCCCACGACGTTGCGACAGCATTCGATTCAATGAAGCACGACGTGGTGCACGATGCTCTGACAGCGCGTGGACTTCAATCTGGCTGCGTTGCGTTGCTCATGCGGGAGCTCGCCGGCGTCTCTGCGACCCTGCAAGTCGCTGGCGCTGGCACTACTGAGGGCTTTCCGTGCGCGCGGGGAGGCAAACAGGGCGCAGTAGAAACGCCCGAAATTTGGAATTCCTTTCTCGAGGCCCTCATGGAGCCGCTGATCGACGCACGGCTTCCCAAAGGCGTTGGCTTCACCTTGGATGGAGCTTCATGCGCGCACCTTGCCTGGGCTGACAACATGTTTATGTTCGCGTCTTGCCGCGAGCACATGGGGATCATGGCCGAGGATTTGAGCGCCGCTCATTGGTTGGCCCAGCTTCTGAGCGCGAGGCCCTGCCGTCTCTCGCCGTCCAGCAGGGCGGGGGCGGCATGCAGTGCGAGCGCGCGAATCACTTACATGCCTTGAGTGCACTTGTGGATGAGACGGGTGCAACGCAGGTTAGCATGGAACACAGGCTGTCGATTGCTTCTGGCCTTTACTTCAAGCACCACTGCGCCCTGTCGTCGGGGGCCCCTCTCAGGTCAAAGCTGGCGGCTTGGACGCGCGTGCCCGCCGCGTCTGCGGCTTTTGGATGTTCGGCTTGGCATTTGAATCAAAATTTATTGCGACGGGTTCGATCTTGGAAGCTGCGTCGCGCGCGCCAGTTTCTGAAGCCCCGTCTAAGACCGGACGAAGGCCGATCGAGTTACTCACAGCGGACTGCGATGATAATACACAAGTGGTTCGAAGCTTGCGCGTTGGAGCCGCTGCACACCATAATCTTGAAGGCAGTCTTCAAGACAGCCTGGCATGAACGGTCGAACGAATCCTGGCTGCTCCGGAGGGCGAGGTTGCATCGCACCACGCTGGAATGGGGGGCGATCTGCGCGCTCCTTCCAAAGCGGCGCCGCCGTGGCGAAGGCTACGCTCACCGTGTGTCGGGCGCTGGCCGCGCCCCGTGGGAAGCGCCCTTCTGCTTAGCTTTCGGACTGCACTGGTGGTGCATTCGTGGCAGGTGCGAGAACATGGCGCAATGGGTGCGGCACTGCGGGGCGTTTGCGGACACCGTGCACTGCGCGGCATCTCCCGCGACTGGAGCGCAGCCCCCGCTGTCCAGCAGACCCGGTCCTGGGCAATGTCCGAGTGCACGCCATGGATAAGATCCCGGACTTACAGCTGCACCCCGAAGAGAAGATGTGGGGCCTTGGAGGCCGCCAGCTGCAGGCGCGGGTTGACAACGAGACAGCGGCGGACCTCGCGAACGGGAGAGCGGTTCTGGCCGACGACTCGTTTCGGCCACTATTCGCGCGCATTCCGAGGGAAACTTGCGGCTCTGAGCGAACGCGGCTTGCTACCGATGCGGGTGCATCTCCCGCTCGTCCGTTGGAGGCGCAAAGAATACAACAGCGTAGCGGATCATGTTGCCAACCACATCTTAGAGACAGAAACATCATGGAGGCGGCGCCCTTCTGATCACGCTCGAACCAGGATGGCTTCTAGACTCCTGCTTTGTTCCGACGGCGGTTTTGCGTCAGAACGCGGTGTTGCAGCGAGTTGCCTCATTGATCTGTCCACCGAGAGGCAAGTTCTTGTTGGCGCCAGGGGCACGCACATACGCTGCTGTCGCAGCGCCTTCGAGGCTGAAGCTGTGGCGCTCGACGAAGGTTTAGAGGCGTTCCTGTCGTTTGCAGGTCGACATTATCTTCCCCTTCCCTCTCCTGCTTCCTCCGGCCACTTGGCACGCCAGTTTCCGGAGTTACGTTGTAGCATCATTTTCTTTTCACGTGCACCTCATGGGGCTTGGCACGGGTGCAAAGGAAAAAGGAGGGATTCCTTAAGATCTCTAGGAGTTCCCGAGCGAA